TCACTCTATACTGTTTATGTCTTCTTGGGGGTGGGCAAAACAAATATTGGACAGTTCAATTTTCCTCCACCATTCCTGTGAGCGTATTCTTCGATTAAGCAGGGTTTTGCTGCAATTCCTGATTAGCATAATATGTAAAGAATAAACAGCCTATGATTTATGCCTCCATATCCTCTTGTATTATTTAAAGAACATACATTTTTCCTTTAATTCTAGATTTTAAAACATTAAAGTAAGGGAAAGATTGTTTGCTCAATTTAGATTTATATCATAATTACGCATTCACTATAATAACTTACTGCATACTTACCTCAGTGGGTTTGCCATTAAAAGAAATACATTTAAGTAAAATCATGAGTGTATAATAAATTGTTTTTCAGCCAAAAAAAGAGAAGGGGGAAAATAAATACAGTTTGATTCACTTAATTTTTAGTACGCGACTCAACATTGTTATTGTAAACTAGACATTAGCCATACTTTAATAGTTGTCATCTCTGTATTTTTAGAACTTCGAAATTAGAATGTCAATTTTATCTGCCATTGTTATGGAGCTGTAGGATATCGAATGTTATTTCTTCAATGATAAAAAGAAATGAAATTTTTAATACCACATCTCATTCATATAACTTATTAACATAATTGAAAAACAATTTAATTCATTTCGTGTTATATCTGAAAATTAAAATTTGTAATACATTGACTAAAGATTCTTACAGGTCTTATTCCCATTTTCCTCCAGGAAAAAGATAATTGCTGTGTAAAATGCATAAATATTTTCACGAGACTTATAATAGTGGTATTAGAATTATTATAATGTTTATGTCATATAATGGATCTGTGAATTTCTTTTAAATAATTTTTATAATCACAAAATTTTATAAAATTAAGAAAGTAGTAAATTTTACAATTAAAATATGAATCCCACACTGCAGAAATACATACAAGAATGAAAACACTGTAATATTTGAAATGCATGATTTATTTTTTTAATAAATTAATAATTATATTTTGATTTTCTATGACAGCAGACTGATTTGCAACTGATTGCTTATACAAGTCACATATTTCACACAGTACATTAATATATTCTTCTGCGTTTCAATTATTTCCTTTTCTGCAGCTGTAATATCATCTCTCTTCCTTTTTTCTCTTCGGTCTCCTGCTTCGAATAGTTGAGCTTCTATCTGAGGGAAAATTTTAAAATATTCATTCAAATTCAAATATTCTTAATTTTTATATTTCATAATGTAAAACACTTTTTATAATTAATTAAACAATGAAACTTCTCTAAAAAGGAACAATTCATAATATTGATTTCTTTAACTTTCAATTTTTTTCCCTTTATAATTTTTAAGACTGTTTATAGATCAAGAGGATTTAATGATTATTATTTTAAATTCTTAAAATCTTGTTGTTAATAAAAGACATACTCTGTATATAATGTTCGCAATAAAGAATTGAAATAACTCTTTTGTATGAGAAATATTAATTTACATCTGTTATAATTAATTTATACCAGCGGTTCTCAGCCGGTGGTATGCAAAGAAACAAAATATTTTTAACTATGAAATTCAAAAATCTCATAAAGAAAAGAATAGTTAATAGAAATTTCCTTTGATCGAAATTGACTTGAAGATTTGGAAAATGACACACTTGTTAACTTTTGGCTGAACCGAAAAAAAAGAATTTAAAGGCATTTCAAATAAAGCTATCAAATTTGTATTGTCTTTTCGCACAACCTGTTTGTGTGAAAAATGATTTTTTCCATGTTAAATTTGAAATATAAATACTCACCAAAATAAAAAGTGGATCCTAATTTACCATTAAATGAAATAAGAGCAGACATAAAGAAATTAAATATTAAAGTATTATAACTGAAATTTTGATAATCAAGTGAATAATTAATTTAATTTTGATAATTAAGTAATCATCAGTTTTTAATCTAATAGTTTTTTATGTGTACATATTTAATAAGAGTGTGCAAATGGCAATATATATATATATATATGTTTTTAATATTTCTATTGAGGAATTGAAAAATAATCATTGTAAAATTAGTGGTGGTATTAATGTTTTTCAGTTTTTGCTTAGATGGTACACTACAGTCAAAAGGTTGAAAACCGCTGATTTATACCATTAAAGTTTTTCTGTTGGGAGGAAAAAAGGAAAAGAAGAATCCAGAAAACATTAGATTTTATGTAATAGATACAAACTTGTCATTCCTAAATGCCATTGCAGATTTCCTCGTGATAAAGGTGTGGAATTTTCTAATGTAAAAAAGAAAAAAGCATAAAAAAAAAGCACAATTTACTCAACAATCTTGACTGAAATATACATGCTTTCAGAGATAGCATAAAGCAAGAAAAGTTTACTCAACAATCTTGATTGAAATATACATGCTTTCAGAAATAATATACAAAGCATACTGCATAATCAAAGTTATGAGTTTATATACTATGAGATACTATACATGTTTATAATATACCACGTTCCTGTACACCTAACACCTCGTCCACAATTTTCTATACAATTCATTAAAGATAGTTCCTGAAACATAACTGACTTAAGAGAAAACATGCATACTTCTAATTTATGCACAATAATTTGACAAACATTGATTTCAGGTAAAGAGCTACATGTATTATATCAAAGAAAGAAAGAATGAATAAGTGTAATTTGCCTTTATCCTACAAATACTTAAAAACATTTACATTAAAAAAAAATGAATTATACATAATGGTAGCAAATTTTTAATGAAAAACAAAACAAGAGTTGAAAACTTAATGCAGTTTTTGTCAATATTTTACTCTCTTAAAATTTATATAAATGTATAGAAACTTGAAATGCATACCGCATTTGGCTGGAAAACTTGTGGTATTGTGAAAAAAAGTATACAAGGAAGCAATCATAAGAATAAAAGATATTTGCATATTATTGAAACCACCTTAATAAAAGTTACCAAATTTTCAAAAATGTGCCAAACTCTGGCAACGATTATGTATCAAAATTTTTCAGGTAACATGCTCATGACAATTTTTCATTCAAGCAATGTCACCATTTTCATATGTGTTTCTTATGTTGTATTTCAAGTTCCAATGGATTTTAGATACGAATAGTTGTTTTAGATTAATTTCAGATTTAAAATACTGCTTGTGGAGCTTACCATCAAAAGACGAAGCTGTGTTAAAAGTTCTGCAGGAATAGAACATTTTAGTACAAAAATTTCTAATGGAAACAACTATGAGATGAATTTGGTACATAGACAAGGCATGCAGTATCAAGTTTATGTAATTCTCTGATTTTTTTTTTTTTTTTTTTTTAAAGTGAAAACAGATCACTTGGCACAAGTGCTCAAAATTTAGACAAAAAAATTTGTGGAAAATGTATTTTTTTTAAACTATCATATAATTTTTATTTAATAATTCAAATTAGTATTTTAAAATTTGTTAAATGTTTTTTCCTTTGATATGTTGATAACATTTTGCCAACTTAGATAAATATTGATAGTTTGGTTATGCTAAAAGCAAGCTGCAAAAACAACGTACTTCTCCTGATAAGTATTTTTCTCTTTTCATTTATAAAGACCACCAAACTGATCCAGGTGTTTGTGTTAATACGTAAGTACCAAAAAAATATTGAAGAATGCACAATGAAAGATGGCAACCAGTATGGTAAAAGATATAATTAATATATGCAATGAAAGAAATCTTATTATTAAAAGACGACTTTCATTATCAGCAGAGAAGCATGACACAGTTACAGTAAAGAAATTAAGCTTTTGTTTCTGCACTTGTAGCTTTTAATAGCCAAAAATTGTTTTTTTTTTTGAAATTTTATGAAATAAATAAATCTGAACATAACTGATATCAAACGAGAATGGGTCCAAACTTTCACTTAAGAAGCAGAAAGTGTACTGTAAATGCACAATATAATGAGCAGAACACAAAGCATAATTTATAAATTAACCTTTACTCTGGATGTATATATTACATTAATATCACATTAGAATTATCAGGGTTTCATATAATTTTTTATTTATTGTATTACATTGAAATACCTTTAATTTCATTTTTATATTTTCCCAACGATGTACAATATAAATCTAAAAATTGCTCTTAACTGTTTCATCACATAATGAATGTCTAAGGGAAGGAATGCCTGCATGGAAGACTAAGGAAAACTTAGTATTCATGTTATACATTGAAAAAATGAAGAAAACACTCATGCAGCCAGCTTTTTCACCTGGATTTAAAAGAGAGACTGGGATAGCGGTGTTCAGCAGGCTTATCTGCTTGTAGATAGATGGGCTTATTAATTACTATATAATTCAAGAACTAGTTAATTTTCATATGGTAAACATGCCTACTGTCACTGAAGAATCATGCATCTGCATTAAACAATAAAAATATAACACAAATTTGAATTTTAAATTAAACTTACTATTAGAAGAATTAAAACCAAATGCTGTAATTTGAAAATGGGAAAAAAAATGTGGTTTATATTTGAAAAAGCAAGGATTTTTGTCTGAAAAGTAAAATATATTTTACACACACCTGTTGCTCTAGATTACTTTGGAGGGAATTTTCTATAGGATAAAGTAAATAAAGTTGTACACATTACATTACATGTCTGTATATTTCTTTCGTTTTCAGGACTGGAACAATTCGTTACACCACACTACAACGCAGTAAACACTTGACCATAAGCTCAGAGAAATCATGGGAACTGATGTTTTTTGTTTACATCGACACGCAGTCTCATTGGATATTGATGTAGTTTATCGGACAAGCTCTCCTGGCACGAGAGCAAACCAGCTCCCCATTGCAATTTTGACGTCATCAGTTACCAGAGCGGTAAAGCGTTGCACTTGAATTCGACTTTAGCAGACCGATAGCAGGAACGCCTCTTGCGAGCTAACATTTGCAATTTATCAGAGCGTTGCACTTGAATTCGCCCTAGGAAAACGGTTTGTCGCCCTCGCGCAGAAATTACGTCAAAACAAGACATCTGTCTACTTTGTCTGTCTGTTGTGATTGCAATTATAGAGTTTGTGTGTGTGTTGAAGGTTGAAGTACGTGCGGTATAAATTGAGGGTACTAAAATATAGCAGTAAGTTAAAAAAATGTGAGTAATAAAAGCATTCTTTACCGTGATAATTTGTTTTATTGAATATGCAGTCGACCATTTATTAACCAAGTCAAGTTCTTTGTTGGTGTGAGAGATTTTGTATTACATTAATATATTAATAGTGCCATGCCGCACATATAAATCTTTCCTTGTTACTGTCGAAAGGTAATCTGTTTAAAATTATAAAGTGCATCCGAAGTAATGTGACCAAACGAATGCGATATTTTATTAAAATTATCACGAAGATTAATATTTAAACTCTTTCACTGGTAAAGCATATTTCTGTTCGATTAGCACATTTGGTGTCTTGTAAATTTAGCTGGGGCTGTATCTGGCTGCCCGTTTTTCGTATGCTTGGAAGCAGCCGCTTTATGCCTCCCTAGTACGGTTTTTGCAATTTAAATGTATTAGATAATTTGTTTTCAGCTCATAATAAAAGGAAATGTTTTTCAGAAATTGCTTTGCAAAATATTTCAAAACTAGTAACATTTGTGGCCTGTAATATTTTTAATTCATGATATGTAAAATTCACATAATTGGAATAAAGTTCTGAAAACGTTTTCAGTTTTGGTGTAAAAAATATTACATTGCATTTATATTTTCAATTTTATGACTTGAATAGACCAGTCCAGTCAGTGGCCAAATGTTTAAGAATGCTGAATGTTGGTTCTTGATTTGTATAACAAGACAAAATTAAAATACATTGTTATATTTTGACAGTATGCTAATTTGGGAAGAGTTACCTGAAACAAAATGTTGAAATTTCGGGTCTTGTATCTCGCTGTAAAATAACTACTGATTGTTAAAGAATTAAGTTATGGAAGTATATGATAGTAATCAGGGTAGAATATTTGAAGTTTGTTTATTCTTTAATAACTTAGTAGGCAGATGTCAGGTTATTAAGTTTACTATTATGATAATAATTATAAGCATAAAACTCTAAAACGTTTCTTGCTTTTATGTTTCTGAAAAGTCTGGAAATATCTCTAATTATCAAATTAATATTTATTCAGGAGTCTACCAGTAGCTCCTTGATAGTTGACATATATTGGTAAAATCCTAGGAAAGCCCACACCCTTGGTGACAAACTGGAAAAGTGCGCACTGCTTACCGCATTTTTCAAAATTGCCAACTTGAAAATAACAAGTCGAAGAATTGCACAAACTTGGTATCCATGTACACATTAACCTATTTTCACTTAAAACATCAGAGAATTGCACAAACTTTGCATTGCACACTCCCTTGACTTTGTCCATGTACACATCGATATGCACCAGAACTAAAATCATTCGCGCCAAGGGTGTGAGCTCCGCTAGGATCCAACCACCTATATTTAAATCATAGTAGAACTGGCTACATAGTGATTCCATGGTTTTCTCTATGTGCAGAAGGAATGAAGACAATTTCTCATAAAACAGTCTTTGTGAAGGTATCTTTTTCAGTTTAAGTATTTTTGCAATCTCTGGCTAAAATAATAAAGTGTTATTTAGAAATTGGCTCAAGAAAATATCTATTGTGGTGAGGAGGACCTGAAGGCCTTACTGGTAGAGAATTGCAATTTACCGTGTAAAGCTGAGACTAAAATGCTTTTAATATGCTAAATTCAATAAAATATATCTTATTAAATATTGAACAGAAGTTTATTGATACATCTTTGTTAAAGTGGCCAGCATGTAAGCCCTTGGCAACATTTAAAATTTCTGCGATAAAATTATGTGCAATATAAAATTAAACATTTGTTAACAATTTTATGTGTATACTGTATGTTGTCGCCAACAAAGTCTGCTTGGCGAGATTTGCGCCAGCGAAACGGAAAAGTACCAAGAAAGAATAGGTTTATTTTTTAACTTCAAGGGCATAAGTTTAATTTAAGTATTTGGTGCATGATAATTATTCTATCCTTTTGAAGCATAAAATATAGCGTCATAAAACTACCTCATAAAAATGCCAAATTTTGTGTCAGGAAAACAATATTTGCAGGAAGTTTTATTTAATTATTTTGTTGGAATGAAAAAAGTATTATTGAATAAAATTCCTTGTTCAACACTCTTGAAATTGGCTGCTGCATTCAATCGTACTCAATCATGCATTGCTCTTTGATTACATGCAATGCATATTGTCCCAAAGCAATTAAATTTGGTCTGTGAATTGCAAAAAAGAGGATATTGGCTAATCATTTGGTATATGGTAACAGGTAGTTTGGCGACATTTTGCTAAGGCAATAAAGAGTACTAGCTAGGACTTTAGCAGTGTACATGGATAACATCAAGGGTGTGCGCAGTGCTACTTTTGTGCCATTCTGGGATGTTTTTTTAAGTGAAAATAGGTTGACGTGTACATGGATGAGACCGTGTATGTGCAGTTCTTAAAAACGCGGCAGGCAATGAGCGATTCTGCGCTTTCTCCCAATTTCGCACCTAATCTTCGTCATGATTAGGCACTATTATAATATACACTGATTTCCTTAACTGTAATTGTTTTTAGTTGCATTTTCTTAATCTGTATTTGAAAGTGAAATCTAATCAAGATTATTCCATAAAAGTTCTAGCATAAGTGTAATTCGGCTAGCAGATTGTTAGAAAAAAATGTTGAGTTAAAAAAAAAAAGGCCTTTACTTCGAAAAAACAAAATGGTGTCCAAAAAAAAAAAAAAAAAAAAAAACTAGCAGGTTGCTGTAGCAGGGTTGGTCGCCAAAAAATCGCCAAGTTACCATAATCCGAAGATTACCCGGGATATTAAATAAAACACATGTAAATTGCTACTGCTGCTGAAAAAAAAAAAAAAAAAGTTCTTTGCTGATGGAGATGAAAAAGTAGATTCATTCTGTCAATCTTTAAAGGTATGAGTGCATTTAGGTAAACCTGTTCCATTACTGCCAAAGCAGAATATTCATGGAAGTAGGGTTGTGTTATGTTAAAACATTTAAGAAATTTTAAAGAAGCACCAAAGCCTAAAGACACGACAAGGTTATTTTCCAGTATAATAATGCTCATTCCCTTGTTGCAAAAGCAGTCAAGGAAATTCTAGAAGCATTTCATCGGGTGTGTTGTCCCACCCAAAATATTCATCAGATGTCTTCTGAGATTACTTTTATTTCATTCCATGCAGATTGGCTGAATTCTTGTAAGGATATCAAAAATTGGTTTGATGACTGAATCGATTCAAAAGAACTAAACTTCTTCCTTCACAGCATTCGTTTATTATCTGGAAACTTGGTAAATGTGGCTTCTGGTGGAAAATGCTTTGAATGAATCTTCCTTTCATTTTGAAAGCAAGCAACTGTCCTTTATTTACTTGAAAATGGGCAAATTAATATTACATACAAATAGCAGCATAATTAATCTTAAGTAACGTATACTGCTTTCTTTAGTTCCTCTTATTTAATAATACACACTGTTTTTCTTAGTTCCTCTTATTTAGTAATATACACTGATTTCCTTAACTGTAATTGTTTTTAGTTGCATTTTCTTAATGTATATTTGAAAGTGAAATCTAATCAAGATTATTAAAATGTTGAATTAAAAATAATGATATTTGTTACTTTTCCGTTTTGCCGGCGCAAACAATAAAGTCACCAATAATGGTACAACTGATGCCAAATGGAATATCTTCGCTGGTAACCTTTTACGCCTCAGTTTCATAACAAGTCACAGCCATTTTTTTACCAGATTGATTGTTTCTTTCAATATTGGCATACTATTACATAGAATTTTTACAAAATAGATAAATTTTATCCCCTAAGACAATTCGCGGTAATTAAGTCAATCGGAATGCAATCACACCGCTCATACGAACGCGAAAATATAGAAAAGGCAAAATCAAGGGTTAAATTCATCAATTCTAATGAGAATGCACTAGCGAAGTAAAGCACTGCAGTTTTACATAATTTTCTGAGTAAGCTATTCGTACGAATTGAAATAATTCTTGCATTTAAACTTGTATTCCAAATTAAGATTTAACTTGAAATTAATGTAGATAATTACTAAGAGAATTAGATTTTTGTAGCGTAGTTTACATGAGATCACTTGGGGTCATGTGATATGAACCGGTGAATCAGGATTTTGAACCATGAAAGCATAGTAAATTCTTAAATTAATGTCTTTTTACAAATTTATTGTCTTTAATTTATTGGCTGTTTACAAAATTTTAAACCATATTAAAATGTTTATGCCTTCAAAATAAAAATTCTTAAAATTAACATTTGTTAACATGTTAACATTTTTTATGTGTATACTGTATGTTGTCGCCAACAGAGTCTGCTTGGCGAGATTTGCGCCGGCGAAACGGGAAAAGTACCCAATATTTTAACATTGGACTGTTTCATTTTAGCTTATTGGAATTCAACTGTTTTTCAGAATGGATGGTTTATTCGATGACATTGAGAGCCCAGAAGACTTAGCAGCTCCAATAAAATCAATAAAAGTAAATTTGTTTAAAATATAAATTTAGTAGAATGTGAAACTGTATTTATGTATTTATATATAAAGTTTACTGAAAAATTTTGTCTGTTTGAGAAGTGAAAAAAAAATAAGGTACTCTTCTGTTTTGAGGGCCGTAAAAAAATTGCAGCGAAAATGTATGAGCAAAAGCGCCAAATCTAGCAAACGCGCCCATTTAACAGCACGCCAAATATAGCGTACATGCTGGTTTCAGATTGCGTAAGTTTATATAGATTTTCTTATATAGGTATATATATTTCTTAAGACGGCATTGAAATACTAGTTTAATTTTTAAATCCTTTTTTGATATCCTATGGATTTAACAATTTGGGAATTGCCCATGATGAATAGTCGACAGTAGAATTTTGGGTAAAGTGCAGAATCACTCACTGCTTGATGCGTTTTTAAGAATTGCACGTACTCTGTATCCATGTGCACATCGGCCTATTTTCACTTAAAAAAAAAACCCTGAATTGCACAAAAATGGCACTGCACACCCCTTTGACTTTATCTATGTACACATCGACTTAATTTCATTTAAAAAGTAAAATAAAATTGACAAAAATCCAATTGTTTTTACCCTTTTAAAAAGCGGCAAACAAATAAGTAAGCGATTCTGCACTTCTGAATTCTGATTTTGAATATTTTCAAAGAAAAGGCATCATTCATTATAGAAAATTACGTTTGAACAACCAATCAGATGAAATTATGCTTTTTAGTGATAAGTTGGCAGTGAAATAGCGATGCAGGCATCCATTCAGTTATGTTTAGCAATTTTTATATAAATTATAATAATGATCTGAAATAGTTATTGACTCTTATGCTTCCATTCAGTCATGTTTCGCCTTTTTCATATAAATCATAATAATAAAAAAATATATGAAATTATAGTCAGGATTTTAATTTAGGTGAAAGGTAACCTTTCATCTAAATTAAAACATCAATCTTAAATAGTTATTTATTATTATACTTCTTTTCTTGTCCCAATTATTAGGGTTGCCGTAATTATTTTTAGCAGCATTTTCCTCAACAATAGTTTGACGATTTTTTTTACGGCCCTCGAAACCGAATAGTACCGAAAATAATTATTTTTCATATATTTATTGTACTACAATATAATTTTCATCATTGCTTATGACCTCTTGCCAGCATTATGGTAATTTAGAAATACTATTTTTAAAAACTACTTTGTCTCTAGAGACAAACTCAAATAATCCTTGAATGACATCTACTTTTGTTTTGAATTTTTAACCCTTAACCATTTTGGCTGATCTTTAGAATATGGTAACTGGTAGTTTGGCGACATTTTGGAGGCAATAAAGGTTACTACCTAGGACTTTGGTAATAATGTGAGAAGCACGCAGTTCCGATTACACATTATTTTATGTGAGGGAAATGAGAGATCATGAGATATGTCATGTGACATTAATGGACGAATTACAGTTGTTTAATCGGAAAAGGGGGGAAATCTGGAAATTTCGTATTTAGCTATATTCTGTGTTGTGTGAAATGTGACATTAATGGATGCTGGAAAAGGGGGTTAATTTGGAAAAGCTTCATTGTGTGTTGTGTGAAATAGTCTTGATTAATTTTCAGATTGCATGGCGCTTTGTAAAGTGAATTCTAAATTTTTAATGCGTTTATCTGATAATAATAATAAGTTGAGATTGTGCGAAAGGAAGGATATTACAAGTTTAAATGGCGGTGCAAGAAATATGTGAAAATGGACATTTTGTGAAAAGGAGTGTAAGGAAGGGTACTTAGTTTGCTGAAAGTAGTTTGAGTATAGGTGAAATTTTATTAATTTCTTATTACTTGGTGAATAGACTTCTAGTTAACTACTGGATTTAGGATTTAGAAATTAGCAGTAGTACTGCAGCGACATAATGAAGATTCTGAAGAAGATTAGGTAAGTTAGTATTTTTAATCATTTGAGGATATTATTTTTATGCATTGTTCTGAATGTAAGGAGTAAATAAATTAAAATGGTATTATTTGAAAATTGTTATTAGTAATGATTTAGTTTAAAGTAATTAGGATTGTAATCTAATTTTTATTAATTTAATGTATGTGCTTATTTATTTTAAGTAGTGTTTTTTAATTTTTTTTTTTATTATATTTTAATTTAATGATCGTGATTTTGTGAGTTATATGTTTGTAGTATTTTGGAATATATTTGAGTAGTATACGTTGAGTATTTTCATGCATTTTCGTGAAATTTTTCTAATTTGTGAGAAAAAAGCAGTGTACATGGATATAGTGATGAGTGTGCGCAACGCCATTTTTGTGCAATTCTGGGATGTTTTTTTAAGTAAAAATAAGTCGACGTGTACATGGTTTAGTGATACAGTCAAAAGTCGTTAATCCGGACTCGTCGGGACTTCGGCGATTCCGGATTATAGATCATCAGCTTAAATCTGGTAAGATGGCAATCAGAAATTATAAAATTAAAAATATAAAACCGTAATTTATGAAATAAAGAACAATTATGATCTAAAGGGTATCAAAATTTACAAAAAGAAAAAGCTTAATATTTATTTGTTTACTTTATTAAACATTTCTTTCAATGTAAGTTGTTTAAGTTGCTTCATTGCATGTGACAATATTTTCTATTTAACTCTATTAAACAGACATAATTTCTTGTTTAGTTACAAAGTTCCGCTGTTCAAGTCCCGTAATTGCTGTGCTGAGAATACCGACTTACTGGTCAATCGAAATGTTTTCGTTTTCAATAACCTCTGGGTCACTTTCTTCACTATCGGAAGCTAATTATAATCACGAGGAACTTGATTTAAATCATATCAAAGACGGAGTACATCGAGATAAAATACTACACTTAGTAAGGAATTATAAGCCAAATAAAATAAAAACATCTGCCCTGAAGATGAGGATAGTGCTGACAGATCAACTTCCAATCCTCGGTGTGAAATTGATAAACAGATTTCGGATTTCAAAACATACTTTCGCTTTGTAGATACAAATTACGTATTAGTAAATATATATCGGAAATTCTATTTGACATAATCGAAAGTTCAAGCTTACTTTTATGAAATTGCTCTAACAGTCTGCAAAAAATAATAAGCCGGATCTAATTCGAAGATTAAGGAACAACGCAATCTGCAACATTAACTGAATTAGATAATTTTAACTCAGCTTATACCTCCGTAACACATTAAATGCGCATGCGCACAAACATATTAGCAGCTGTAAAGGTCTTACGCGCTCTCATAAACGCCTGTGCGCATGCGCAGAAAGTTTGTAGCTTTGAGGTCCGGATTATGGGTGTCCGAATTAACGACTTTTGACTGTATTTTAATTAAATGATAGTTATTTTGTGAATTTTATGTTTGCAGGAATTTGATATACGTTTTAGCTGAAGTAAACATGCATGGAAATAATTTAAATATTTGACACTAAGTATTTGTAATGTTTGCGGTATGAATTCGTTGGTGACGTTTAAAATATAATAGATAATTTAGAGGTAAAAATTTTTAGCTATTTTATTTATTTTATACGTGGAAATGTTTATATTTGGAAAGGGTATATACTTTTTCGCGATAAAGTAATTTCATATATGTTCTTTTTACCGGGTTTAAAGATTCAGAAAATTGTTATGCATTTTCGTGAAATTTTTCTAATTTATGAGAAAAAGCAGTGTACATGGATATAGTGAAGAGTGTGCGCAATGCCATTTTTCTGTAATTCTGGGATGTTTTTTTAAGTAAAAATAAGTCGACGTGTACATGGTTTATGTGTATGTGTAATTTTGAAAACGCGTAAGGAGTATGGTATTGTGCACTTTTTCCCAATTTTGCAGTGAATATTTGTCATGATTAAGCAGTTTTGTTAGATAAAATTTTTAGCATAAGTGTAATTCGGCTAGTAGATTGTTGGAAGAAGTGTTCAATAGATAAAAAGAAAATAAACATGTCTTTACTTCGTGAAGACAAAATGGCGGCAGGAAAAAAAAAATAGAGGGTTGCTGTAGGAGAGTTGGTCGCCAAATTTTCGCCAAAAAATCGCCAAGTTACCATAATGTAAAGATCAACCAAAATTTTTTGTAAGGAGATAAATGAGGGATACTCGGAAGGTGCTAGGCTTGAGCATCCAGAATATGATGATGAATTTGGCATAACTTCTCAGCTTAGCTCTGTGATTTTCTGACGAGTTACCAAGGCAGCATGTGATTTGGCATTATCATGATGAAATTTGATGCCCTTCTATTTGGACATCGCTGCCCTGTTTTCTTTGACTTTTTGTTTAAATCACCCATTTGCTGATCATGTCTTTCTGAATTGAGCTTTTTGTTAGATTTCAAAAGCATGCAGTGCATTGGTCTTTGGGTGTTTCACCATATATACAGCATTCTCTTATTCTTGCTCAGGGTTGGTTTAGAGTTGGAAGGGCAAGTTGTCCAGGCTCACATTATGCTCTTTTCGTAGTTATGTTCTTCATAGGGAATCCATTTTTGATCTCTAATTAGTATCCAATCCAAGAAGATTCATTTCTGTTAATAGCAAGCAGACATATGCTTATGATGGCTGAATATTACAAATTTTCTCATTTAACATATAAGGCACCATCTAGAATATTTATAGACCACTCTGTATTTCTGAATGTAGTCCAGGATGGTTTGTTGAGCTGAGTTAAGCTTTTCCACAGTTTCTGATGTTATTCAAAAAGGAATGTTGCTCACTCATGAATATATATCGATATTCATGCCATCTTTGATCATCATCGATCAAAGATTTCCACCCAGAGCATGGCTTATTATCAAGGTTGAAATAACCTCCTGCAAATTTTTCAAACTATCTCCTGCATGTTATGTCTGAAACTGTATCTCCACCAAAAATGTTCACAAAATTTCGATATGCTTCTGTAGCATGGAATTCATTTAGAATCACTGAACATTGTAAAGGAACTTTATCAGTAGCCATGTTACATGCTCACATCTCACTGAATGATGGAACGAGATACTTTTGT